CATACCGTCATAAAACAGCTCACTAGGCGCTATAATAGGTTTATGGACCAATGGAAGACGCCAAGTAAGGTTCTTCCGCTCAAGAAGGGCGAGCGCGACCTAATGAAGAACTACCGTCCCATCCTCCTCTCGCAGCCATACAAGTTGTTCAAGAAGGTAATCCTCAACAGGCTCGAGAAACAACTGGATGAATATCAACCAGTGGAACAGGCCGGGTTTCGCAAGGGCTTCTGTTGCATGGACCACATCCATACTGTCACGCAGTTGATTGAGCGAACCAAGGAATACAAGCAGCCGCTCCTCCTCTGCTTTCGACTATACGAAAGCATTCGACAGTGTGGAACTGAACTCTATTTGGAATGCGCTGCACCATGCTGGTGTCGACCCGTGCTACATAAACCTGCTGGAAAAATGCACCATGGACACATCTACCACCATCCGCATTTTTCAACGAGAGCTACGAGTGCCGATCGAAAAAGGAGTCAGACAAGGTGATACGATCTCTCCCAAGCTGTTCACCACCGCACTCAACCACGCGATGCCGAGTGGGCAGATGCGTCACCCATCATACTCGAAGGCACTGCTCTACCGGATACCGACCGTTACGTTTACCTTGGTCGACTCATTTCCATGGACAACAATTTGCGCGAAGAAATTATGAGACGCAAAAAATGCGCATGGACGGCAATGGGACGCATAAGAGAGGCGGCCCAGCTCATTTCGGACAGGAAAATACGAGCTGCTCTATTCGACTCTACAGTACTGCCTGCACTTTGTTACGCATCCGAGACGTGGGCAGAGAACAAGGCGTCCACGCTGATGTTGACACGTGCCCAACGAGCATTGGAACGGACCCTGCTGAATATCAACCGCCGAGAGCAGAGATGTCGCAATCTGCGCAGTACAGACATGCGCTCAATGTCAGGCATCCACGATGCCGTAGTATACGCGTGGAATGCAAAGAAGAGATGGGCCGGACATGTGGTCAGACGTACGGACGATCGGTGGACCACTCATCACACTCTGGTATCCGAGAGACGCGAAGCGCAAGGCTGGCCGCCCTGCAACCCGTTGGAGAGACTCCTTGAAGCAACTCCAAGAAGCTGCAGACCAACACTGGATCCAAACCGCTCAAGATCGCAAACAATGGAGGGAAGCGTGTGCTCGTCGCTGAAGAGAACCGGCTGAAGACGAGCGTCCAAGTAAGTAAAGGCACGGTCCGCGATCAGGTATAGAAGTTGAAAATATGGCGTCGGAGGGTAGTGTGGTCCGCGACGAACAACCTTGTACCGGTTTCGCGGCAAAAAATTCTAAGGGAGGGGCGCTATAGCGCAATATAGGTTCCTCCTTTTTTCCAGTGACTCCGCCTCCAGACTCCGCCTCAAGGCCCGCCTTTCAGTGAAAAACGGAGCTGCAGGACGAAAAACATGAAAATCGTCACTTGTACGGTCGTAGAGTTCTTATCGGGGAATCAGCTGTGCGGATGAGGGCGTAGTTTGGAGATAGAGTTAATTGGGCACGTACAAACTGGGATCGAAATGGGTTCTATCTAGGGCAGTTGGCATGTTTTTTTTCTGCTTTTTTTCTTCACTATCGAGTTACTCAGCACCTTGTCGTCTATATGCAAACCCCTAATCCACTATCTGTGATGGCGAATGATCGCGGGCTTTGCCTTTAAGGGGGTCCAGGAAAACGCGCTTCAACGCAATCAAAGCGCGGACGTGTGCATTCGATATTCAAATGGCATGGCTGCCAGTTCCTCCCGCGCGCGAATTTGAACACAACAGTCTGTAGGTTGGAGCACAGCATCCTCTGCGTGTAGATCCACACAGCCATTTTCTCTTCCAGGAGTTTGCAAAAAAAAGAAGATCCCTAAATCGCTCAGTTAATATGGCAGTAGTAGAAAATATTAAGTAATCGTTATCAAATTTTGTAATTTCGACCTGTTCTAACCAACAAGACAGATTCCAGAGGCCGGGAATCCGTGTTACAGTAACCCGGGGTTGTCATTGGGGCGCGCTGTTGGATCAGAGCATGACTTCCGGTCCTTAAGCTTTTAGCTATAAATGGGGAAGTGCTTGGATTGGATCCTTGAACTGACTGCGTGGATTAGGGTCAGCACCTTGACCTTTTGAAAGTGCCATTTTCTTGACATAGCTATACTATCTACTACAGCAACTATGAATATTATTTATACAAGTACTACAAAAGCAGTTTTGCCCATGACTTTATGATTAAACCTTGTCAGAAATAGTGTAACAAATCGTATTCATGCATTAAGGGAACTGCCGATACACTGCTGAAACGAGCACAAGTTCTTGACCTATTCTGAAGAAAAACAAAAGTCGTTAGAAGAAAAGAGTAGTAGAGAGCATAAGTTCCAGATTTCAAACCCAGCTACAACTTAATAAACGCGGTTAATGTTGTAGATGACCCACACAGAAAACAAGAGACACTGCAAGCAAACAAAGTTAAAAATCTTGTACACAACTCAACAAACTTGCACTTAGCGTTAACTGCCTAACATTCACTGTAATGCATTGTCCCTTCACTACATACAGTGCACTGACTCAGTATCGCTCAACTATCAATATGACCCCAAGAATCACAGAAAGTACACGTCAGCAATACACATCGTTAGTAAAATTATTCATCGAATTCTCTGAAAAGCAATAAGCGTAACTCTGACTTCTGCCACTTCAAACTCCTTGGGCACTTCGAATCTTCTTTATTTCCTTTCTTTGCTTATAGATGCCGTCTGTGCTCCTTTTTTTCTAGTTATTGACCGACAATGACTTCCTTATGACGTGATTTGTTACACTATTTCTGGGTTTTATCAATCATAAAGTCACAATTAAAAACTACTACTACTAAACTAAAAAAAGAAAAACTACTGAAATAAGGCAAAATGCAAGGAAAAGAGCATAATAATCGAGATAAAAATAAAGGAAATCAGAGCCAGTACAATTCGAAATTCAAAATTCGTCAGAAAACTTTAGGAGCTTGAAGAGCTGAAAAAGTGGGAATTTGCAGCCGAATTCCATCGAAATCAGCTGATTCACCGTCACCGAGCCGCAGCCGCTGTCGCGTCACAGTGCAGCGCGGCTGTGCCGCCCGGGTGTAGGTTAAGACTCCACGAGAGGTCACGGCTGCCATGTCCGCCTCGCCGCGCGCGGCGATTGCTGCCGTGATTGGACGAGACCCATACAGTCGTGCGATTAAGATCCCGGTCCCTTCACATAGTTCTGGCATCACGCAAATCTGCTTGGCATTTTGCCAAACCAGAATATTCAATGGGACGTCAATATTTTTGAATGGCAGCTGTATTTATTTAACGGGTTGCTGTATTTTTTTTGATACAACCTACTTTTCCCCTCTGGCCGCAAATCTTAGGCCCTCTCAATACCATGCAACAGGCCCTCACAATACCATGCAATTGAGGGCAAAAGAAGGAACCCTCCTAAAGTGAATTTTTGTAGATTGCTGATGTATTCTCTGAATATTATTTCTACCAGTCGGATCGCCCGGCTGTCGCCGGGCCATGCGGATTTGCCGCGTGCTAAGTTAAGGATCGTTGACCAACCACACTGTTCAAAGGAATCTTCTGCATCAGCCAAGAACTGAAAAGCAGCGCTTGTTCCGTCAAGCGCAGAAGCAGCAGCAGCGCCCCCGCATCACAGAAGGAGGAAGAGCCGGCCTTAGCCAGCGATCCGACTGGTACGTTCATAACCTACACGGAAATAGTGCAGCCTGTTTGGACAGCCACTGAAGCAGCCTATAATTTATGCAATCTGTCTTCCTAAAGCGTCTTGCTTTGGAATGCACTACCGCATTCAGCAGTGGAACCCTTTAAATGGCCCTCACTGAAGTTGCTGATGGAAGATAATTGTGGTAAGAGTGATAAAGTCAGTTGCTGCTGTTCATAACATCTCTGTAAACAAACCACATGCATTTGGAATAGAGCTGGCTTAGCGGTCGTACACGATGTCGTTACTAATAAGCAGTGAGGAATGAGTTCTGTTGGAATCACTGAGATCGTTATACTTGAGTCATATCGATCGCATTGTTGAAGCGGATTTTCCCATGTTACCTTGTCACTTTTAGCTCCTATCACTTCCGTACCCGCCAATAATATTCCCGTCCCGTATCACTATCATATCACCCTATATCGGATCCGAGGTCCCACTGTTGCTGTAACCTGCGTTACGAATCTGATGACCCTCCCCTTCCGAGGCCGCTTACCGTATCTTATCAACTGTTATCACTTTCTGTCGCCCGCCAATAATGTTCCCGTCCCACACCCTATATCACCTCTCGGATCCAAGGTCCCGTTGTTGCTGTAGCCTGCGTTACGAATTTGATGACCCTCCCTTCCGAGGCCGCTTATCGGATCTTATCAACTGTTATCACTTTCTGTCACCCGCCAATAATGTTCCCGTCCCACACCCTATATCACCTCTCGGATCCAAGGACCCACTGTTCCTGTGAGCCGCACTATGAATTTGGTAGTCCTTCCCTTCTAATGCCCATTATCAGATCTTATCAGCTGATATCACATCCTGTCACCTACCAATAATGTTTTCGTCCCACCCCCTATTTCACTGCTCGGAACCAACGTCCCACTGCTGCTGTGGCCCGCACTATGGACTGGGTGACCATCCCCTTTGGACGCCTCTTATCGAATCTTATCAACTGATATCACATCCTGTCACCCACCAATGGTGTTCCCGTCACACCCCCTCCATCACTTCCTGGAATCAACGTTTCTCTGCCACTGGGACAGGTGTTATGAATTTCGTGACACACACACACACACACACACAGACACACTTAGCGGATTATATATAGTAGGATAATATGTATATGGACGTTGTTTTATACTAATAGTTGAACATCCGGCTTGCTCCTTCCAGGGAAAAAAGGGCTAGCGGTGCGAAAAACCATCCTCCTCAATAGGCCCCGCTGCGAACACCGCTGCGAACAAGACTGTACAAGAGAGGAGAGTTAGTACGGGATTACACAGCCGTCGCCGAAATACCGTTTCTCGTCCTATGATATGGACTGTAACTAACGCAAGAATTATAGTGGTATCTCGTTTATGTAGGCTGGTTCCATATTTGCATCCAGGATAGTGAGGTTGCCCTTTTTCCACCACTCTCTGGGAAACAAATCACCCAGGCAGACGACCACTTCAGTAGCAACTTCAGCTCTTTGCTTCTAAAAATCCAAAAGATGCATTCAGTTGTTTTCCCGGATGTGCAGTGTTGAACAGAAGAAAAAGAACACCAACTGGGTATGGGCACATGCTTGGGAGGCTTAGTGACCACCCGATGGGAAACTAACCAGGCTTAGAAGCCTAGAGTAGCCTACTACGGGGAGCCTCGAAGGATAAATAAAAGGATTCTGTGTAAAACCTTACTGAAGTCAAGCTCATGACTGAAAAAGCTATGGCCATGGTTAGCAGAAATTGGCTATGCACAAGAGGAACGGGGAAAACGACACATTGGTGGACCTTGGGGTTCCAGGGGATTGTATTTGGAGTGGTGCCGAACTGTTATTCACCAACTGTGATCGTCTGCTTCCTCCCGTAAGTGGTGGTGAACAAGCTAACGCCGAGCCAAACAAACCCAGCCCCCTAAATTGCTCCAGCGTCCGCAGATAACAAAAGTGTAGATGAGGGTTTAACGTCCAGCGCTCACAGTCATTTGCCTGGGTGTACTGCGGACCTCCATAAATGTTGAAGTGCAGAGGCACGAGAGAGTTCTTAGCTTTTGCGAGAAAGAAAATGAAGGGAAATTTTTATTTCCGTTGCACTTCGCTGGAATGTTCTGGGTTATGAGCGTCACGGGCAAAAATTCCTTTCGCCAGTCATTGTGACCTTGCCCATTACATTGCCTTAGCAACGACGCGTTAGATCTCGCACATCTCTCATATAGTCGAAGGCGACGCGTCAGCGCGTACGATTCACATCTGGAATTGAAACATTCTCAATCATTTCTAAAGCGAAATTGCAAGCACCTCCAGGTGCTTGAGCCAACTAATTTTGCGAACGCCGCTCATATTAACTCTACTTCAGACCTGCTACCTCTTGCACCGCAGTTTCATGTCTAGTCACTGCTCGTTGGAAAAGCGAGTGAAATCATCCTGAAATTCCGGATTTTTGGTCCGCATGCTTATTTTATTTGACTCCGCGAAGGCCCGCTGTCCATAATGCATCACAGACGTATAAGTATACGGTACATTGTAAGTGGTAGCCTTGGACGGTGACACTTTCGTAAATTGATCGTGGTATTCTTAACATTTTTCATGATACTACTGATAATTTCCTATTATTCTCAGATTTTGGACTTGGCCAACTATTTATTTATTTATTTATTTATCACTGACCACATTCGCTTGATCCAGTTTAGGACGACTTCATTATTTCTTGCAATCAAGGCCGCTCCTCCCGCTTGGGAAAATTCTGGCAGCAGACAGAGTACAACATCCTCGGAATTTTCTGCTTTGGTATAGAAGTCCTCCTCGCTAATCCCTCTTTTATGGATTTGTCGCAATGGATACTAGAACTTCAGCCCAACCACGAAGGGAAAAGGGTTCCGGTGTAGGTAAATCAATTTCAAACATGTTAACCGATAAAATAGGTCCAGTTTGCACTTTATCTGAATGCCCCTCCAAGTTCATTAGCGCCCCTCCCCCTAATCATTTGCCGAGCTAAAAAGCATACCTAAGTACTGAATGGTGAAACCAGCACTCTAATTTCATTTTCAAAGTTTCAAAATCTTCTCAACAGCTCAACTGACCTTTAGCGATATTTTCAAAGATAACATCGATGTATTCGTCGCGATCGTATCTCTGATGTTCATGCCATAAGCCGATGACATGCATCAACTCGTGCATAACAGTAGGCGTCATCATGCATCTGAATACATCCCATACTTGAGGGCAAAGTAGGGACGTTTCCTAAGGCAGCGTTCAGACTTCGCGACGGCGACGCTTCGGTCGCGCGTTCGATGCATCGAAAGCATGCTCGATCGCGATCGAATCGCCACCGTCGGGAAGTCTGAACGCTACCTAGGAGAAAGTCAGAAAGTGAAGTCTGCGACTTCTTTTTCCAGAGTTCAGAGAAGTTTTTCACCAATAAGCGCGAAACGAGCATAGTTGTGGCAGTGCGATAGAACCTCGAAAATGATAGCTTCGCTGTTGATCCGCACCAAGGAGCATGGCCAACCCCAACGAAGGAGTTGTAATTCAAAGTACTGGAACACTCGCAGTACAACCCAGACGTGGGCCGCAGAGAGTTTCGTAAGTTCGAGCTATAAAGGAAGCACTGCTGCAAAGAATATTCCGATCAAGACGTCAGTGCTGCTCTTCGCTGGCAACAGATGCAATCGAAAATTTGTTCCGACGGAATCAAGGGACCCTTGCGAAGCATCGGGAGGCGTGCCTTGGACTCCAGGAAGGTTACGCAATAAAATAAGGTGTGCATGGAGAACTCGTTCACTTTCTGACTTCGCATCCTGCATATTTGCGGTGCTGCGAGGATCTGCACGTAAGGGAGGCACAGACGTATGTTTCATAGCTTAGAAATCAGAAAGGGGGGAGAGGGGAGAGGGCGTGGCCGCGCACTTCATTCAAACATTTCCGAGTGTTGTGCAGTTTCGCTTCAGGCGCCATAACTGAACTGTAGTACAACTTATGGTTAAAATACCAGAAGGTCACGCATTGTGCCTAGCACCTCTGTAGGGACCATAAAGCTTCTGATAAACTTACGTTGCATTTTTGCTCGATTCCAGTTGCACAACACTTCGACCACCTATACGTCCGACATTCGTATAGCATCTGAAATCACAAACATCATCTCAGTAGCATTCTCGTAAAAATTCCCTGCTCATTTTCAATTTCAGTCTTCAGACGTATTGATGTCCTTTTCAATGCAGTACTTCTAACGGGCAGTTCTGCGACGGAAGGCATCTAGAGAGCTATTTCGTGAGTTGACAAGTTCTATCGTGGCGGTTTGCTCCAGTTTCACAAGAGCTACAGGTTTCACCTGAGTGTGAATTGTAAATCAGAACTAACGAAGCAGAGAATATGTGATATGTCCCTCCCATCCATCGCCAAACTGCGCACTTTTAACTCACCCTTCGCCTTCTTTGTTCACCAAATCGATATAGTCCTTTTCATCGTTCCGTTCGGTGAATCGAATACAGGTGTTTTTTGCGATTCGCTTCATCGCTTCAGCTATCGCGTCTTCTTCAGTAGGTTCTTTAAAATCTCTATTATTAAGAAGAGACACCAATTGTTTGCCTGTTCATTTCTTTCTTAATGTCGAATCTGGTTGTACTACATTGATTGCAGCATACATATTATAAGTGACGACGCTGCAATTAATATGGGGCGGAATAAGCTCGCCTCGGGCTACCTTGCTCCGCCAATAGTGATCGGTTAGTGATCGACTGCAGTGGTGGAAACAGCCAGTGGTGAAAACGCAGCGGGTGTGCTCATTCCAACCCTCTCGAAACTGCCCGGACTAATTGTGGCGTTATCAGTTGTGCGCATTTCCCCACGGTTGTACGATGTGTTTCGGTCCATATCTGAGGGGAAACAAGAGACGTACCCGCAAGGGTTCGGATGAAGGAGAGGAACAGATGTGTGTATAAGCAACGCGCCACTCCTCACGGAAATTCGCACCCGTCGTTAGAACGCCCCTTATTAAGCTCTGATAAGAACGACTTCTCAAACTCACTAAATGGTCCTGTAATCGTGTACGGTATGCGGATGTTCCCATCTTCGTCAGTAAGAATCCATTTCAGGTCGGAATTATTGTACAGGGCGTTGTACACTTTCCTGAAATGCGAGATTTTCTATTGATTAATCGAGCCAGATTTCAGATGGAACCACATGATTCTCTACCGAATACAACAACTATTGGAACATACGTGCCATTCTTCTTCAGATTGCGAAGTTGCAGGATATCCCCTTCACCAGGATCATTGAAGATGTCTATTGGTTTGGCCTGAAATGTTTCATTCACTTCCAGTTAGCTACTTTTGAACCATTTCAGCTACTTTCGGACCATTTCCTGACTTCTCGAAATTACTTGGCAACTCCTGCCCCCCCCCCCCGGTGAAATTCACGGAAAAACGAAAATCTTCAGTCAAGAATGTCGCTACCCCTCCTATACGACAAGAAGGGGAACCAACAGTTGAATGCACACTCCAGACCGGTCTCCACGGTGGAATCTTCTCAACTCGTGTGCCTTCTTCGCCGGTGTACAATGGTTTTCTGAGACGGTGTAAAGGAGAGGCACATCAATGGCGAAGCGCAATGCTAGGCTCCAACAACATACAGTCTTGTTCGCAGCGGATGCAGAGTCGTGTCAAGAGGGCAAGGTTTGGCCCGATTCTCCACAGTTCGCTGTCGCTTACCCGCTTCAACAGGGGTAGAGAACGGGGCTGGTGTTGCGCCATACCTAGCCACCTTGACGCGGTCCAGCATTCTCAGCGAACAAAACTCCATGCGATGATTGTAAAATGTGCCTTGAGGATGTATGGAATAAAACTAACTCTTGTCCAAACCACTTGAACAACAGCGAGTGTGATGAGAAGATGGCCAAGCATGGGAAAGGTGACGAGGAAAGACACCTGTAAGTGACTTATAATTTGTGCCACAGTATCCGAACAAGTAGAAATCAGACCTAGAAAAACGAGTAATTCGGAAATTCGGGCGCTTCTTGAAAAATGACTTACTAACAACTAACTAATGGCTTCGGTTATGCGAAGTCAAAGCGCCAGTCACAAGGAAGAATCCTACAAGTGCCTGCAAGGTCATAATTCTTTTAGATGAACAGGCCCTTCCCGGATTAGTTTGTTGAGTTGAACCAGACCATAGAACTTGGCACTGTATGTAGATCCCTTAGTGTCTCAGATTTTTTTCTTCCAAAACTTTGCCCTCGAAAAAACCTAAACCCTTCAAAACAAATATTCCTTGTGCTCAAGTGGGAAACACCTGGCCCCTGTTTTTGAGACGCCGGTCTCACATGCTAGCTTTGGGGCTTCCGAGTATAATCGGCTCCGAAAAGGGCAGCAGAGACTACAAAAGATTTATTGTGTAAGAAGAAGCAAACTAAAGCATATCTGTTGTTGGAGGAGTTTGAGAACTCAAAGCGAACTTTGTGAGAGCACGTCCGTCTCTGAGCATTTCGTTCCTTAAATTCTGGCCTCTGGGAATAGTCGCACAGTTACCCCTAATCGTTGATAAATAGCGCACAATGGCTGCTGTACAAAATTGTGTGAACCTTGGATTATTTGTCTCTTACAATATAGCTGGTGATTCATGGAGCCTCAGAAAAACCCTTGAAGAAGACTGCGTCGCTGTGAGCCTAACAAAACCCTCGCAGTAAAATATTATTTGTTAGGAATCTCTTCAAACTCATGTTGTAGTAATTCCACAGAAATTGGAATTTATTACCACGTCGAAGCTCCCATACATACATCCTTCTGGCGCAAAAATTCCAAAGAAAATTCCCTGCACGGATAATGCTCTCTATTCCTCCTACGTACAGTCCTCATCATTGCGGACTGTCGGAGGGCGGCTGTGCAACGCGGTCCAAATGGGCGTTCGGCCTCGTTGCTCTACCAATGGCGATCGGGTAAAGATCGATTTAGGGAGGGAGCAACCAATGATGGAAACGCCGCAGGTGCGAGCCGCTGATTGCGACCCGACAATTGCGGTGATGTAAAGTGTATTATATGTGAATAAAAAATTTGCCCCAGAATCTAGGAATCGGCTTGGCAATCGAGTTTTCTGGGGTATCGGGCACACCCCTGTAAAGGGCGCACCTTTGCCTCGAATGCCGCGAAAGTTTTATCGAATAAAAGTTTTTTTCGGACTCGAATTCATCTCGTTAGTGCGGATGCCTTTCTGGAAAGAATGTTTGGGCAAACCGAATTCTGGCTGGTCCATGTCCTCCAGAAGCTAATTTGAAGGGAACGTTTGCCTCAGGTACGTTCAACAGTCTTTGGATGCCTGAAAAGTCTTGCAAACACCCATTCACTTGTGGGAAAACTGCTACTTTCTTGTATGATATGTTACCTTGGGAACTCCCACATATCGCTAAATGAAAACTGTTTCCAATACCCCTTAACACTTTTCTAATCAAATTTTATAGATGCACAAACAGACGAAGGGAAGATTGAAGTGCTTACAGTCATCGGCATGGATAGGTGACAAGAGAATCGTAATGCGCCGCGATGGTGGGCGTCGCAAGAGACGTCGCGCTCGCAAATGACGATGGTTCCAGGTAGAGGATGGCGACAACAGGCAATTCAGAACCGAAAACAGTCATGAATGTCTGATGAGGTCTACATGAAGTCCGATGCTCCAATCGAAGGTTAACACGAGTTAAGAAGCTGTCGCGTCCATCCGATTCTCTTGCCCTCTTGCCGTCTCCCATTCGGCACCTCGAAAAAACATTGGTTCTGGAGTTGAAACCCTTCATGTTTGTCCAGTTCTGTTTGGAATGGAACAGATTTTCGTGTGGCAACGACTTCTGTGACAATAAAAATACGTCGGTAGTCGAGAAAGTTTATGCTGCTGGGTAGTGGCTCTCCTCTCTGGGTCGTTCTGAGCTAAAGTCTACGGCGACCGTGTAGGCGGAGAAGTCAGCTACGGCGACTTGTTCATTGATGCCTATTTTCCCCAAGCTGTTTGAGAGAAGTTGCGCACCAGTAACGAAAACAAAATCTTAGGCCTGGCTCCGCCCGCACGTTCGTCGCGGATGGTGTCCCAACCTGGTTCCGAGTAAATGAGATGATTTTGCAGCCTCATGGGCAAGCCTTGAGCGCTTCTTCAACGTTTTAGGTACTTCAGTTATTCAGTCGTCGTGGAGATCGCCCCTAGAGAAAGGTATACGGAAGGTTAGCAAACCAGATGTCTCTTCACCCCCTTGACTTCCCTTCCCTTTTTTTGATACCTTTTCCGACTTATCAAAACTTTATGTGCTACACCCTGAAAATTACGGCCCTAACTCACAACGAAAGTGCAGTTACCTATATTCTGTTCGAAAACTGGCCGAACTTGCGAGACATTTGCGTACTGCGTACTACACTTGAATGGAGGCAGCTCACTGGTCTTTGGTGATATATATTCCCACTTCGGGACAAAATCAGTCTTTGCCCAGCAAGAGAGCATGACCTTTGTCTCAAATGGAAACATACCACCAAAAGGGGAACCACCGCCGTCTTCAAAGAATGTACGCAACCAAGTCCTTCCCACTTTCGGGTGTGCATCGGTGAAAACAAGTCGTTCACCATCGAAACGTGGTGAGTCTAACCCCCGTTCGTCAGTTTATGGTCCTTTTTCGTTTTTTTTTCACTGTGGCACTAGAGCGCCTGCTACTGTGCTACCTCCTCGTCGGAGGATGAGTTTATTACAGGCAATGTAATTTGAAAAAATTTCCTTTATTTTTCACCAACATACAGTACATTTTGTAGATTCAAAGTAAAAAGTACGTAACAGATGATGAGGTTTTACGTTAACAACAATACAATAACAACTGTAACTTGAAAATTAGAGCGTAACAAGAGAAAGTTACTTGAAAACCTAGAGAACTATTAGGTTGTCCGGAAAGTTCTTAGGCGTTGTGGGCAGCGCTATTTATTTTTTGTACATTCACTGCTGTTTAAAAACTCTTTCTGCCTTGCTTCTCAGTAGCCAATCCTGTAGAGAATTTCTTGCGCTATCTGATGGTATAATTGCCGTTTCACCATTGCTTATTGAACTCCCTTTTTTCAAGATTTTTTCAAACATGTGAAAAGAGCACTTCGGACGATTTTTTTCTTCGACTATAAATTGGGGCAATCCGCAACCGAAACAGCTCAGCAAATTAACCAGGTGTGGGGGCCCAATAGTGCTTGAGAAAGCACTGTGCTGCAATGGCTCAACAAAGTTCGTTTTCAGAGATTTTAGCATTGAAGATGAACCTCATGGCAGTCGACCTAAAGCAATATCTGACGAGGATTTTGAGGAGATTTTGAAGGCTGACCCATCCCAAACAGTTCGAGAGATTGCAGAAAAGCTAGGCGTTGGCAAATCCAGTGTTGTAGATTGTTTGAAACGCATTGGGAAGGTGAAAAAACCCGACAATTAGGTGCCCCACAATCGGAGTGACCGGCAGGAATCGGCACGTCTCGAGGTTCCTTCTTCGCTGCTTTTGCGCAAAAGAATTGACCCGTTTTTGAACCGATTTGTCACCTGTGATGAAAAATGGATCATGTATGATAACAGGAGACGTTCCGGACAGTGGTTGGATTTGGAGGAACCACCGAGGTAATTTTCAAAGCCGAACCCTCGCGAAAAAAATTCTGGTCAGGTTTGGTGGTCATCGGCTGTTGTAATCCACTATTTTTCATCACCAGGCCAAACCATCACAGCAGAACCCTACTGTGAACAAACCGACCAAATGTTCCGAAAATATATGCCAGCTGCAGCCAACACTTATCAAAACTTATCACTGTACACACTTATCAGGTCCGATTCTTTTGCATGACAACGCCCGCCCACACGTTTCACAAATCACTATCCATAAATTGAACGAATTGAGGGTTGAAGTTCTACCTCACCCACCATATTCTCCAGACCTTTCACCAACCGACTGTCACCTTTTCAGACATTTTCAGAACTTCCTTGCTGAAAAATACTTCATCAATTAAGACCAGGCAAAAAAGACCTTCGTAGATTTCGTGGATTCTCGACCACCCAGTTTTTTTTATGGGATTTCTCGACTGCTGTCACATTGGCAAAAGTGTGCTGATTCGAATGGTGCCTATTTCGATTAAATCCGATGAGTATTAAAAAAGTTACGATCGTTTAAAGTGAAACACCCAAAACGCTGAGAACTTTCCGGACAACCTAATAAAACTGGTACCATGGCTATCGCCGCAATCAGTCGGGGTGGTTCCAAGTGAGAGGGATAAACTCGTCCGCGGATTTGCACCACTGTTATCTCCTCTCAATACTAGTCTTCCAGTACTGGAAGACAAGGCAGCCGGCGGCGGCTCATTCCGCTGCGAATGATTACGACGTTATCAACCTTGAGATGATGGTTTAATCCCAAGACTACCGCAGGACGGTTTTTACTATAACTAATAAAATCTGCAAT